TCCCTCTCCCTCTCCTCTCCCTCTCCCTCTCCTCTCCCTCTCCCTCTCCCTCTCCTCTCCCTCTCCCTCTCCCTCTCCTCTCCCTCTCCCTCTCCTCTCCCTCTCCCTCTCCTCTCCCTCTCCCTCTCCTCTCCCTCTCCCTCTCCCTCTCCCTCTCCTCTCCCTCTCCCTCTCCTCTCCCTCTCCCTCTCCTCTCCCTCTCCCTCTCCTCTCCCTCTCCCTCTCCTCTCCCTCTCCCTCTCCTCTCCCTCTCCCTCTCCCTCTCCTCTCCCTCTCCCTCTCCTCTCCCTCTCCCTCTCCCTCTCCTCTCCCTCTCCCTCTCCCTCTCCTCTCCCTCTCCCTCTCCCTCTCCTCTCCCTCTCCCTCTCCCTCTCCCTCTCCCTCTCCTCTCCCTCTCCCTCTCCTCTCCCTCTCCCTCTCCTCTCCCTCTCCCTCTCCTCTCCCTCTCCCTCTCCCTCTCCTCTCCCTCTCCCTCTCCCTCTCCCTCTCCCTCTCCTCTCCCTCTCCCTCTCCTCTCCCTCTCCCTCTCCCTCTCCTCTCCCTCTCCCTCTCCCTCTCCCTCTCCCTCTCCCTCTCCCTCTCCCTCTCCTCTCCCTCTCCCTCTCCCTCTCCCTCTCCCTCTCCTCTCCCTCTCCCTCTCCTCTCCCTCTCCCTCTCCTCTCCCTCTCCCTCTCCTCTCCCTCTCCCTCTCCCTCTCCCTCTCCTCTCCCTCTCCCTCTCCTCTCCCTCTCCCTCTCCTCTCCCTCTCCCTCTCCTCTCCCTCTCCCTCTCCCTCTCCTCTCCCTCTCCCTCTCCTCTCCCTCTCCCTCTCCTCTCCCTCTCCCTCTCCTCTCCCTCTCCCTCTCCTCTCCCTCTCCCTCTCCCTCTCCTCTCCCTCTCCCTCTCCTCTCCCTCTCCCTCTCCTCTCCCTCTCCCTCTCCTCTCCCTCTCCCTCTCCCTCTCCTCTCCCTCTCCCTCTCCCTCTCCTCTCCCTCTCCCTCTCCCTCTCCTCTCCCTCTCCCTCTCCCTCTCCTCTCCCTCTCCCTCTCCTCTTATGTCGGTTTTAGAAATTGGGTCAAGGTGCAATCGATGCGTCTGAAAGCCTGGCAGGCAGTCAAATGAATGGAAGTAGCAGCATTTGGCCTAGTGGTCGCCCGTTGTGCCTTTGGGACGGCTCGCTACCAATGCTTTTGCAGAGCAGCAGCATCCCACTGCCAGCGTCATCATATTTGATACTGCTCTATCAGACGGATAGCCGCTTTTAGCATCACTGATGCCGCTGATTGTAATGACGAATAGTAAGGTATGATCATTATTTTAGCAGTGCCGGCACACCGCACTCCCTCCCTCTCGTTCCCCCGGCACTCGCCCCCAGTCACTCCTCCGGGCCGCAGATCCGCTTCAAACCAGTATGCGAGTGCCAGCTCAGAGCCCATGAAACTCTGTCTGGCACGATCCAACTCCACAGCCTTCCCAGGTCGATGAACGGTCTGTTCCATTGTCGTTACGACCATATTCAGTCACCAAAGTCGTCGCTGCGAATGATTGGTCACTGAAGTAGTTGAAGACGTAAAAAAAAAATATTCACTTTCAGCATGTATGACTTATCTAAGGGAAATCTGCACATGAAAACCTCATTGATATCCCAAAATGGTCATTCTAAGAACCATTTTGGTCCACTGGCTCTTTTACAAAACACAACTTGTTGGCGTATAGTATTCAAACAGGGGAAGACGTTCCATGTCAGTGTTGTATTTCAGAGATACTGAGTGGTCATTTCTCTGCATTGCTAGTACTCGTGGTAGCAACGGGCATCGCAGAAGCGTGAGAGCAACAACAGATATGCATTGCATCTTAATTTCCGCGAAAGGGGAAAGGAAAGGTTATATCACGTGCGTTGCTTACGTATCTCCTTCATCTGTTTTCCGTCAACTGTCCTCTCTCCTTGGCTCAGTCGTATTTTACATTTCCTTGAATGTGGTATGTTTGTCTCCTTGTCCTCGATTTTCTTTGACTATTGTCGGTATTCCCTAGAGTTTCATCATCTGTGATAACCGGTGGATAATCTGTATCTTTTAAGAACATCAGAAATAAAGCTGGGTCATCTGTTGTCTAATAGGAAGTCTCATTTTATTTTTTCATACTTGTGTTTATAATTACCAAAGGGTACTGTGTCCTTAAGGGCCTATAACCCTAAACGTAAGTACATTAGGGCTAGGTAAGACCTTGACATGGTTTCTCCTTTGGCGATAAGTTGTCAGGGACAGGCTCCTAGCTATTATTATTCATTGAAATTTTTCTGCCGCATCAGTAGTTGCGTATTCAAAATACAGCGATAGGGTGGGGCATGGTGGTGAAGCCCCCAAGTATAGCATTGCGATAAAGTATAGAGGCGAAAAGGGTAAAAATGAGTTAACGATTTGGATAAGTGGATAGAAGAAGGGAAGGAAAAGGGGAGAAGAAAAGACCAAGCAAAATTAGTTGAGGCGAGGGCCGAGGTCCAAGGCAGGGATGATCCCCTACAATGGGCCTCAGTCTCCGTCTCCTAAGCCCCCCACGACAACAACGGGCAAGGGATTGGGGGGAGGGGAGCTCTCTATCTCGAAAACTACCATCTATTTCTTTGGACGGGGCCTTACAACTAGCCAGGCGAATGAATGTACGGTTCGCATCAGGGGTTTTAGGGTCACGTTGCTTTGAAGTAGAGGAGTAAGGATTAAAGAATCCGCAGTGGTGAAAGGAAAAGTAGTTGTTTTTATATCTACGTCTAGATGCCACCAGGAACCACGGGCATGACGGCCTTCAGTGGACTCCGTAGGTCTAAAAATAACAGTTTACTCTTGTAGTGTTTTTTAAGTCTGCTGTCGTTGGCACCACGGCTTTGCGATGTAGTATTCTTTCAGTAGTCCAGGGTAAAGTGAGATTGATTTAATCTAGCACTGATGGACTGACAACTAGAGATGCTGCGTAGAAGTGTGTATTATTTTTTTAAGAGAAAATCCTCCAGAAGGTGAATTTTGAATGCCATGTGTTGTAACACTTGGCGCCAAGCCACCCTGAGGGAGGCTGTATGGGGAATATTACACAGTGAGTGAGTGAATGAATGAATGAATGAATAAGTGGAGAGAGAGAGAGAGAGAGAGAGAGAGAGAGAGAGAGAGAGAGAGAGAGAGAGAGAGAGAGAGAGAGAGAGAGAGAGAGAGAGAGAGAGAGATGAAGATTAATACCACTCGATATGCCATCCATAAAAATCATCCTCGTTTTCCTACTAACTGGGCAAGGTCGCTTCCGTGAGATCTGGGTGCTTTTAGCTATTTCTGATCTGTCTTTTCATTTATTGAAATCCTGTTCTATCATCTGTAATCTAGAGCCGCCTCTTAGACTCCACTTACCTCGTCAAGTTTGTGTTGAGTTGAAGATCATCTTGTGATTTTGTCGACTCGGTGCTTGCAGTTTAGCTCGACTCGATGCCAAGTGAGCTTTCACGTGACTTGGCTTTCGTAAACCCACCTTTAATGAAACTACTTTTTGAAGGCGAACCTAAAGTAAAAGAAAGCGATGTACATTTTGACCCATTTTAGACTGACGAAGACTGTACCTTCAGAACCGTGAGAAAAGAATACTCAAGGATTGTAAGTATTAGGATGTGCGCAGGGGTCATTGGGTATGATTTCAAAGCATAAGACGAGTTTCGAACCTGGCGCTTTGCTACCCATCGCTGGGCCCCCACCAGTGCTGTCTTTGCAGATCGCCTATTTAATTGTATGTTGAATGTTTTATGTTAAGGTCGTGTCAGTAAAGAATGTTACAGTCCAAGCGGTTGGATGAGACGCAATTTCTGTGCCCGCGGGTTTCACACAGACATTCATTGGGGAAACTACTATTTCGTACTCGTTCGTCCTGCAATTTCGTCTGAAAGATTGTTGATGAAAGTTGACCGGCGTAGATGCTGAAATAGAATATTTACATAGAAATTCGAACTTGTAAATTTCAGACAATACACAAGAGTAATACAATAAACAGACATAATGCGTAGCTTTATTGACCTTCGTAAATTTATGTATTATTTAGCAGTTTAGTTCCATATTTTTCCCAGTGTGTGCTGGAAGTTTTTAGGCAGGGCACCCAAGGATCTTGTAATTAAATGAAAAACACCGGAAAGGTAAAGCGAAAGAACAAAGCAGAGTTATTAACGATCCCCGAGAAGTTTTTTTAATTCGTTTCTTGTTTTGTGAGAGTTTGCAGTATTTTCCTTGTCGAACATAGAATAATATGAGCGTTAGGCCTTTTTGGGAGCGAAACTGTTTCGAAGTTTATTTATAGTGAACGAAAGGCGAAGATATTAGACTTGCCTGCACCTGGCCTCACGTGTTTCTTGTCCATGGGTGACGAGGCCTCCCATTGGCTGCCTCGATGACTCCATCCAGAGGCGCCCGCCCATTGGTTGCCAAACCTCGCGTGTATGGTTGAGTTCACTGGGGAGAATGCGTGTGGTGATGCTTATGATTGTGATGATCGTTTTTATTTTTGTTACGGTGGTGAGCCGGAGGTATTGGTGTTGTCATCGTTATCAGTACCATCACCACCATTAAATGGTGTTGCCATCATCCAACCAAACTGCTGTCTATGAGAAATAATTAACAATCCTGGAATATCCTTATCTCTGTCTACATTTAGCAAACGTATATGACCTTGTCAAGTACACGTACACCTAGACTAATGAATTGTTTGTGAATCTGGTGAGATAACAAATGAGATAGATTGAGGACGTCTCTTTTGGAAATCCCTTGCCAGTGTGGCAAATTAATAAACTCGCTTAAAAGTTTACTCTATTGACACTTCCTTACTATGCAGGCTAGTCTGATTTGGTGTTGCCGCATGTTATACATGGCGACGTATTCTAGGTATGGATATTGATTTTGCATTTCAGCAACTGAAAAGAATAGGCTACATAGGATGAAAAATGATGGTTTTATATTAAACGATGTATTTCCTTCCTTTGCAGTCCCCTATCGTGAAGT